CCCCAAAACCCCAAAACCCCAAAACCCCAAAACCCCTTATAAGAGGATGTGAGTTGATATCATAAATAATAATATGAACAACATTCCCCTTTTTGATGAAGATTTACCTGAGGAATTTTTAGATGAAAACACTTCTGTATCAAATGTGTATGTATGCCAAAGTCTTAGCGCTAATATGGATGCCAGCCCTTTTAGAAGAGCAAGAGCGAAGAACTTGTAGGGCCTAACTCTTCCAATGCTGAATGTATATGTGTTTTTGATAATTTGACAAAAGCGAACTGTTGAAATAAAGGTCTGATGAATAGTAGGACCAAAAGATCAAAGTTCAAAACCTTTTCAGAACGAAAAGATTCCTCAATTTCTAATTTACAGAGAGATATAAAAGATTTGTTACAAAAAGCCATAAAAATCAGAAACTTCTCGAACTCGATTCTTCCTCAAGAAGAACCCCTCAAGGATAGTGATATCAAAATTCTTTGAGATGAAGTCGTTATTACAATGAAGGACATCCATGGAGCAGAATAACTGCTTCTTTTCTAATTAATTTCTCAATAATATTCCATACTTATTAATATTTCTCTTTCGAATAGGAAAAGTTAATAATATTCCTAAATTTACCTTCTCTATGGAAAGTTATTCCAAACCGAGTATTTCCTCACACAATTTTGGGAGAGGTTTCTGATTAAAACAGCTGATTTTGGTATATAAATTATGAAATAAAAAAGGAAGTCTTCCTACACACAGGTAGTAAGGATGCTATTACAAAAGGAGTTGACATCTTTTATTCAGATCTGCACTTTAAAAGCTTTAGAAAGGAAGCTATGGCTAACTAAATATCAACATTTCAGCTTGATAGCAATACTTTGATGTTCTTATCCACAGAAGTTTCATTTCTTGTCTTTCACATGCTTCAATTATTCAATGAGACATCAAAATTTCTTAGTATTTTATATTCTTAGAAAGATCATTAAGAACATTCTCATATTTTTATAAACTTTAGATAAAATTTGAAGGTTTGAACGCTAACTTTATAAAAACTTAAATTCTTTTCTTGCTCTAAGCTTTGAGAGAAAATAATGTGAAAACTTTGCTAGGCATGATCAAAGTTTTCACCGTTAATTATACAAAGAGGCTTTATTAAATACTGAAATTATTATCCAGGAAAAGGTGAAATATTAATTGAGCCACCATCTTCATGCCAAAGTAGGCAATCAAGAGAAAAGACTTATGGTATAGCCCTACTTGCTCATATCTAATTATATAAATTGTTCTATAGCTGTCAAATTATGTAAACCTAAATATAACATCTGTTAGCTAAAATTATAGAAGGAAAGACATCCTCCTCAGTTTCTCCTAAAAAATGGCAGAAATCTAAGAGAATTTTATTCATAATAATATTTCTGAACCTCTGAAGGGACCTGTAGTGCTGTTTTTAAATTCTAAAACTTATTCTTAATTTCTATCTCCAGTCTCTCTAAAAACTTTGTTGAAATTTTTAGCTAAAACTATTCCTTTTTTAGAGTTTTTAAATTGGTGATAGAGATTAAAAATGGAAAGGCGAACTCAGAGCTTTAAATTCTTTGTATTTTTAATAATTTAGCGTAACACTTCGAATAATTTATAAAGCCTCTGTCAAGACCAAAATTATGTTGGATATGCGTATCTTAGTCGACGTTAAGCTTGTCAGTTGAGATTTTAGGAGAATTAACTTGCAGTGATTTTTCAATACTAATAACATCAAGTGTTATTGATAAAGTTTAGGGTGACATTTATGCAAAATCCACATCCACCATGACTTCAGGAAGTGCGACCTAACCTATTACCTTAGAGGCATACTTTCAAAGTTAAAATTATAAAATAAATTATCTTTGCTTAGCAAGAGAAGTTAATTCAACCAAATGAGATATGAATTATATACTTTTTAATATTCTGGACCAAAGATCTTTTGGACATAAGCCAGAACTGTACCAATGAGTACATATTTATTCCAGAATGCTTTCATAATGCCCTAATGAAGGACTTAAAAGACTCAGAATATTTTAAGGATAGGTAGGCACTTCCTTCAAGCAGTTTTGTATGAAGTTGGCCTATAGACTTCTGAATTATCTCCATCTTTGAATAATTTCAATCCCTCTTTGCTCTTTGGGGTTTTGGGGTTTTGGGGTTTTGGGGTTTTGGGG